GGCTGCACCATGAGTGTTGCGTGGCCTCAGTCATGCTGTGAACGAACCCGTGGGCCTCAGTTTCCCCCTGGGAGAAAGGCAGCATCGTTGAGTCCAGCAGTCACTGTGCAGATGGCCCCTGAGTCCCGGGGCTCAGCCCAGAGAGCAGCTGCGATGCCAGCTCCCTGCTCACTGACCAGGTGGTCCCGTCCTTCCTTCTCACCTGCCCTGCGAGGGCTCCGTGCTTACGTTTCTAGCACTTACGTTTGTCCTTTTTAAAGGGGCCAGATCCTTTTTTCTAGAGAATCCTTTTTTTTTCTTTTTTTTTAATAAAGAATTTTTAAAAATATATATATTTTATTGATTTTGTACAGAGAGGAAGGGGGAGAGATAGAGAGTTAGAAACATCGATGAGAGCGAGTCATCGATCAGTTGCCTCCTGCACACCCCCTACTGGGGATGTGCCCGCAACCAAGGTACATGCCCTTGACCGGAATCGAACCCGGGGACCCTTCAGTCCCCAAGCCGACGCTCTATCCACTGAGCCAAACCGGTTTCGGCTAGAGAATCCTTTTTAACCAGGGAAATTTATGTCTTAATAAAAAAAGACACAGACATTCCCTCCCCATTATCTGAAGTTTTATTTTTAAAGTGAGAGTCTGTCTGATTGGCATGATGAAATCTCCTGCCGACCTGCTCCGTTCTGCCCCCGGACGCGAATGACCCCTCTGCCCGGCGTATACCGCTCCCGCCCGTTAGTCACTCGGCAGCCACCTCCCTGCCAGAGGGACTGTCACGGTATGGCAGAGCCTGAGTTCAGGTAAACCTCACTCCTCTTTCTGTGCCTAATCTCCAGGTGGAACTTTATTATGGAGATGTGCGTAGGGGAAAAACATAGATATATTTAGGACTCAGGACTCTCTGTGGTTTCAGGCACCCACTGAGGGTCCTGGAACGTATTGCTTTGTTCCAGGGGCAACTACTATATATTTGGCTTTGGTGGAATCATGGCTTTATCTTTATCTTTACACTTGGGTAGCAAGCAATCAACTTTAAAGTAAAAATGTGACCTTTTTATTCTTTCCAGATCAGTCTAAATTTTTTTAAAGAAAAAAAAAATACATATATTTTATTGATTTCAGAGAGAGAGGGAGAGAAAGATAGAAACATCAATGATGAGAGAGAACCATTGAGTGGCTGCCTCCTGCATGCCCCCTACTGGGGATCGGGCCTGCAGCCCGGGCATGTATATGCCCTGACTGGAATCAACCCTGACCTGGTTCATAAGTGGTCGCTCAACCACTGAGCCACACCTTCTGGGCCAGATCATTCTTTGAGGTTCTACACTTCTGCCCAGCAGTCTTCATGGGGGAAATGGCCACACCTGGGGTTTATGCATTGTCTTTTCAATATAAGGCAGTTGTGCTGAGTTGCTTCCGGCTTGAGCATTCACTCAGAGGAGACTGTTATCACCAAAAGAAAGAGAGGTCGGCTTGTGAAATATGGGAGAGTGTGTATCATGGGAAATGTATCATGGCGGGTGGAGGGATCATCCTCTGTCCTGTACATGGCTGCTGGCCTCCCTGCGTGTACGTCCGCCTCGCCGTGGCTCCTGACTGCCCTGTGACCCTGCAGAAGGCACCTCTGACCATGGGTGTGCTGTGGGAAAGAAATAAAGCCTGTGTTTGTGTATTAGTATGGATATACTCACACTTGTAGAGTGAAACAGGAGGAATTGAACAATGTGGACCTGGTGTGACCCAGCTGGGAAATAAGGCCCCGCTGGAACTGTATAAGCCATGGAGCGCGCAGTGTCTTCTTTCCCCGGGGTCATCCTGGTCAGACGGGGGTTTAGTTGGACAGTGAGAGCTGCTGTGCTGGTCATGTGCTGCCTAATAATAATACGTGTGTGTTTGCAGAGAGGGCTCAGCGCTGAGGGGCTTGTCATAGCGCTTTTAAAACGGTTAACTGCCCCTCCCTTGTTTTCGGCTTTGTTCCTGGTGTGAGGAGTGAGGACGTGGAGCAGCAATTCGTAGTTTTCCCGTCTTATCTCAGGGACACTGTGCGCAGTGCAATGTTAACCTGGCACAGAAGGCAGCGAGATGATGGCCATGATCCAGAGAGCTCGCCCTTGGGCGTGTGCGGCCTGCCTGGCTCTGTGTTAAGCATCATACATTTGTCATCTGTGTCAGACCCACTGCTCCAGCGCCACAGCTACTCACGGGGTCCGGCTTGCTCACCCAGCCCCTTAAAGCTGGTCACATCTGTGCCAAGAACTAGGAATGGGAAGTTCCACTTTGGAATGAAAACTCTTACTGTGATGAAACATTACATTCTAGGCCTCACATCCCTCACCCTTGACCTTGTTTTCCTTGATGCAAAAAAAGTCTAGGTCTAAGAGAGCAGACGATGAAAGGAGACATAAAAATAGTTGACTACCAGTGGCCTAGTTTTTGAAGTTTTACTGGGGAAATTCTCTCCCTTTTTTTTCTTTTAGGATCATTTTTCTATTTTCCCACCTCTGGCCATTCTATCAATACCTTTTTCCTTGCTAGCCTCTTCCGCATTAATCAACTCGCAATTGAAAGTATGCCCAGACTTGACTGGGTTCAGTTTTAAGGTTCAGATCTGTAGTGTAGCTGTGCTAGGTTGCAGCAGTGCAGGGCAGGGAATGACTTATTTCATTTATAATTAATAACTCAGCTCGTGTCTATTTCCTTTTTAGCTAAGGGGATAAAGGGTCTTTTATCCAACCTACTTAGCTTAAAATCAGTATCTTTGTCTTTCTCTCTCTCTCTCTCTCTCTCTCTCTCGCTCTCGCTCTCGCTCTCGCTCTCGCTCTCTCGCTCTCTCTCTTTCTCTCTCTCCTTTCCTCCCTCCTTTTTACTCCCCTCCTTCTCTCATAACCACTATGATTATTATTAATTACAGAGTGACAGAAAAGGATAATATGGATAATAATAGACTATATTTTGGAGGGTGAATTAGAAAATATGTATAAAGTAACACTTAAGACTTCTCTATCAACATTTTGGGTTTTCTCCTGTTAACGTAAAAAAAAACATTGAAACCTATAGAGTTTTTGTGAGTTTATTTGAGCCAAACTGTGGACATATGCCAGGAAGCAGAACCTCAATGAATGGAGATAATGCTCCGGAGACTGGCAGGTTACATCTATATTTATACATTGCAATCAAAGGAGGGACATAGATGGGTTACATGAAATTCATTGATGATGGATTAAGGAGACGGAAGAAAGCAAAGCAAAGCAATTCGGTGGGAAACCCCTGGGACTGGATAAAAAGTAGAATGACGGACATACTTAGTGTGTGCTGGAACAATTAACATGATAATGAAGGAATTTGAGGCATCTGTCCTGGCACCCACCAGCCCACCACCTCAGGTTGTGCCCCAGGGGCTCCAGAAAAGGGAAGTTACAAGTTACCCAGACATCTCACAGATGTGTTATCTTAGAGGCCAAAAGGCAAATGGGCTCAGGAAAAATCTAAGTTTATCTTTCTCAGGGAAAATACTGGCCTAGGATATGACTGCCCACTATAACCTGTTTGTAGTTAAATTAAAAAAATATATATATATATATTTTATTGATTTTTTTTACAGAGAGGAAGAGAGAGGGATAGAGAGTTAGAAACATCGATGAGAGAGAATCATTGATCAGCTGCCTCTTGCACACCCCCTACTGGGGATGTGCCCACAACCAGTGTACATGCCCTTGACCGGAATCAAACCTGGGACCTTTCAGTCCGCAGGCCGACGCTCTATCCTAGGGGTGTCGAACTCAATCAGAGAAGTGGCCAAAATCTAAAATCCAGCCTAAATCACGGGCCGAATGGTTTACTGAACAGTCATAAACTGTCATTGTGATGGAAACGCAGCGGAGTGCAGTGATGACAGCGCGGTGCGGGCCACATTGCAAGGCCTGGCGGGACGGATTTGGCCCGCGGGCCTTGTGTTTGACACATGTGCTCTATCCACTGAGCCAAACCGGTTGTGGCTGTAGTTAAATATTTAATTTTCAGACCATCCTTTGTGGTTACTTTAGGTCTCTGAGTTTGCAAGACTGCCACACAGGCTTCCCCTGAGCTTGTCAGGTCAGCATGTGGCTCCTTTCGTCCTCACTCCATACATTTATAGGTTGGTTTCATCTCTGTTTTTGTTTGACATTTATCAGGCAGACAGACATACTTTTGGCCTCAAGAGAATGTTTTGTTCCTTAACCTGGTGTAGGGTGGCCTGAGGGTGTGTGTGTTCCAACGCACACAGGTGGCTCTAGAATTAGTCCTGTGCTGGGCCATCCTGTCTTCAACACAGGAAAGTCAAAGGTGCACAAATGCCTGTTAGATGAGACACTTGTAAGAAAAAAACGAAACAACGTTGGAGAACGGGAAACTGTTTTACCCGTTTACTAGGCACTGCATTTGTAATGTAAATGTAGACGCACATGGACCCGTTGTCAGAAGGACTTACTACAATGCAGAGCCCTCGAGGTGCAGGGCGGACCTCGGTGGAGCGGTTCATCTTTGTGTTCTTTCTCGCCACCATCCCAGCCGAGCTGCCTGGGTGCTCAGGAGGGACTCCGAGGTAACTGTGAGGAGGCCTGGCAAAGACACCTCGCCTCACATCCAGGGCTCCCTGCGCTGAGCACGATCCCATGACGGACGTGGCCCAGGAGTCACAGAGCCGGGCCCCAGGAGCGGCACCTGGCTCAGGGAGAAGGCTCGCCTTAGAACTCACACTAGGCCAGACGGATACCCTTCGTCCGCTGTGGCTCTCAAGTTCCGCTCTCTCTCCATTAGGAACCCTTACAGTGAGGTCCCTTCGGACTGGCGCGCGCGCCTTTCTCAGACGGAACGCTCGGAGAAACGTGTGGTCGGGAGGAATGCCGTGGGAAGGGGCGAGGGGGGTTACAGTTTCTCTCTGAGCTTAACCTTCAGGCAGGTTCATCTGTGAGACTGCGCTTACCTTCCACAAAACCTCACCTTTCTCGATTTCTCTTCCAGGAATGACTCTGTTTGAAGAAAGAATGCCAAGAGACCGAACACTTACGCGATATGGAGTTGTGCCCAAGGAATGTCTCATCTTTTGTGCGGTTTCTGTCGTGGAGTCAGCAGGCATACGGAAGAGAGCCAAAAAGGGAATAGTGTTGCTCTGCTGAGGACGGGATCCAGCTGGCTTTGAAACAAGTCTCATGAGAAAATTATCATATTTCCAGGGAAGAAAAGAGCTCATTTTTTATCTCCCCAACTGCCTCCAGCCACCACCCCGTAGTGTGCACACCACAGGTTTTTCCAGGATGATCACTGTGCACGTGGAAGAATGCGTGTGCAGCCTGAGCTGATGCTGTGTGTGTGTGTGTGTGTGTGTGTGCGCGCTCATTGTGTGTGTGCGCACACGTACTTCTGTTCCCCCAACCCTTCACTTCCTATTTTACTACTGGTTGTAAGAAGATTCTCTTACAGTTTAACTGTTACGGCAGATAAAGATGACTCTGGGAGTGAGAGGTCCCCGAAGATAACCTAGTTTGGCCCCGAGAAGCAGAGCCCCAAGAGGCCCTGGCTTCGGATGGGGACTGGACGGCGGACTCTGGATGCTGAGACCGGGAATTCAGCGTTGATCCTGCTTCGTCATGCCACTCTCTTAGGTCACTTACAAAATATTGGGAAGTTGTGTGTTTGTTTTCATTTTAACTTGAGCTAAACAGTTCTTATTTAGGTTATTCAATAAAGGGGAAAGTGGTTTAAAGTCACAAAAACAAAAATAAAAAAATTCTTGTTTTGACAACCCAAGTCAAAATAAAACGAAAAATCTCTGCTTCTCATGCCAGATGGGGGGCCACCTTCCCCTGGTCCGATTTATGTAGTGTGTCGCTGTTTTCTATCTTGTAGCTGATGCTCGTTATTTCAGAGAGTCTGGGTGGTTTTTTCCCCCTCGGGCTTGGACACCCTGCCTTTGTCTTTGCTGTGGGGTTTATGAGACACCTGGGGGAGCTCAGAGGGCATGGCAGTAACTTTGCGGTGGGTCTGGGCCAAAGGCGGGGAGGGCCCACGACGTCCAGAGCCCGTGGTGCCTGCTCTGTGTCAGAGGGAGAAGCACATTTCGCACTTGACTCCCCAGAGGCGATTTCCGTGTATTTAAAGTATTTACTGTAAATATGCTCATTCTATTCTGCTTCTGGCATCAGACTAAAGTTTCTAACCTGTTAAATGAATGGTAGGCTCAATTCCATGTGAGTCTTTACTGACAACTAATTAAAAGGCATTTGTGCGTACATACATCGACACAGTGGACGAGAGGAAGCCAGTGTGGAGTGAATTTCACGGAGGTCCAACAAGTAGCAATATAGGAATTGGGGGATGTGCATTAGTGTAAATGATACATGTGCGATCTAGACCAATAGTTTTAGCTTTAGGAGAAGAAAAGCATCATTTTTTGTTTGTTTAAAGAATACGCTCTCAGAATGGGGAGGGATAAATATGTAAGATATTCTTAAGCTTTAATTATTTTTTTAACTTTATTCAGGTCGGAGCACTTTTTGTAATAGCAATACAACAGGCAAGAGAATACTCAAAAATATTTAAGATGATTGTATTTCTACCAACAGTACATTTTAAATATTTTCTAATACTTGAGCAGTTTTTGTCTGTCTGCAGAATATGCCAAAAGTTAAGCATTCAATATTTTCGACACATAAGCTTTTTACTGGTTTCTATGATCTCATACAAACTCATACGTGTTCCCAAAGCGACCGATGTTTACAGGCCTGTGCTCCGCTCCGCCCTCGAGGGACGGGGCCGCGCAGACTGACCACGCACAACACTACGGACGGAGGGCGGGCGGACGGCCGGGGAACGAGCGGGCGGGCTGCCACCTCAGTGTAAAAATTTGTAAAGAAAGACTTTCACCCTTTTGAGTGTCAAGTGTATTTTTAACTGTCTGGTTTGTACTTTTACGACTTTTGTACTACCAAAGCAGAGTTAAAAATAAAAATGTTAAATCCAGTGTGCTGTTTTGGAGTGATCTGGTTGTTGGTGCCTTGAGTATAATGGGGGCGTGTACTTTATGGAGCTTACTATGACACTGCCTCATTTCTTACATCTCATTCGGCTGGCTTTCCCCACTGGATTGACCCCTCTAGGGTAACACCATTCCTCACCCCCGCCATAATGGTTTTCTAAATTTGGAGATCGCCCTGGCCGGTGAGTGGTGGTTAAAGCGTTGACCCGCTCACTGAAGGGCTGAGGGTTCAATTCCCGGTCAAGGTCACGTACCTGGGATGCAGGTTTGATCCCAGGCCCCAGATGGAGCATGTGCTGGAGGCAACCAATCGATTGTGTCTGTCTCACATAGATGTTCCTCCCTCTCTCCCCTCTTCTCCTCTCTTCCTTTCCACTCTCTGAGAAGGAATGGAAAAAATGTCCTCAGGTGAGGAGGAATCAAAAGGGGTCACTTGGGGTGACAAGTTTCACTCAGCCTTTTGACACTTCCAGGAGCAGGAGGCGGGGGATGGTCACTGAGCCCTGAGTGCAGCTCGCCTGACAGGACAGGGCAGGCCCTGGGTGAATTTGCCAGGGCGACTGCCCGCGGCTGGGAATGCGCCTGCACTTCCTTCCTCAAGTCCACGGTGATATGGAGGCTTCCTCTACCCTAACAGCCCTAACCTGGAGGAACCTCCTTCCCCTCCCACTGAGGGCAGGAATGTCAGGGCCAGGAAGTGGGATCCCAGGATCCAGCTCTGGTTGCCTAGGGCTCAGCTGTGGTCAAAGGGGTCTGTCTGTCTGTGTTTTGCGCCCGAGGTCATTGCCAATTCCTGGATGCTCTTCACCCTTTTGTCTGTGGGGCAGGTTGGTTCCACCCAGGGCTTCCTTTGATCATTCATCTTCCCAGGACTGTTCTCAGATCCCCCTGGGTGTTCCCTCCTTGTAGCTCCAAACAGTTGCAAAGACACCTGGGACTTATTTGTGTCCTGCCCTGTGGTGGCCCAGCTGGGGTCGATCGCTGTCCACTCCACCAGATTCTGATGGTGTCAGCCTTGCGTAGTTGGCGCGCCCTCTGCTGGCCAAATGCAAGAACTGCATGGCTTCTTGGCCATTTGCTGTGTCTTTAGCAGCAGCTCAGAAAATACTCATGGTTATTTGCTGAGTAAATAAAAATCTATCTTTAAAAATGAAAGACTATCCTTAACTTTTATGGAAGTAAAAAGCCAATGTTTTTTTTTTAATAAATAAAAATTCAAGGTTGAGTTTTTCCTCACTCATTTTCTGACCCTGGCCTTTTGTCTCAGTCTTTCTCATCAGAAGCCCGTTTCTCTCCTGGGAGTTGTGTCCCTGCAGGGGTTCCTGGGGACACCGGTGGAAATGATTGAGCTCCGTTTTGGAGGAAACCCGTGCCCGGAAGCCTGCGGTGGAAGTGCTGTGGCTGTGGGCAGCAGTATGATTTTCAAGAAGTAGCCCGGCCTTTGCTTTTGAGTTTGCACAGTGGCTCTGTCACTGCTGTGTGATATTGGGAACATTACCTATCGGAGCCGGACTTCCCTCATCTGTAAGATGACCTGCCTCCCAGGGTTTTTAAGGATCAGAAAAAGGCGTGCACAGCGACGGTGCCTGCGGTGATCTGTGTGGCACTCAGAGGAGGTCTGTGTGCGTCTGCCCCACCGCGGGGAGCCAGTGGCCTGGGCAGTGGCCCCGCACACACAGCTTTATCCGAGGGTGGAGCTGGGTCCGCAGCTTCTTGCTCTGAAGCTGAGCCCTGAGGTTCACGGAAGTTCCACGGAGTAGGGGAGGCTCCATGTTTTGAGGGGTGAAAGGACATCTTGGAAAGCACAGCATAGGAATATAGTTAATAATACTGCCATCCCTGTGGATGGTGCCAGATGGGCTCTGGGAATATCAGCGGGAACACTTTGTAAAGCATTTGGTTGTCTAACCCAGTGGTCGGCAAACACATTAGTCAGCAGAGCCAAATATCAACAGGACAAGGATTGAAATTTCTTTTGAGAGCCAAATATTTTTAAAAATATATTTTATCGATTTCTTACAGAGAGGAAGGGAGAGGAACAGAGAGCTAGAAACATCGATCAGCTGCCTCTTGCACACCCCCTCCAGGGATGTGCTCGCAACCGATATACATGCCCTTGACTGGAATCGAACCTGGGACCTTTCAGTCCGCAGACCGGTGCTCTATCCACTGATCCAAATCGGTTTTGGCGAGAGCCAACTTTTTTTTAACTTGAACTTCTTCTCAGGCCACTTCTTCAAAATAGACTCGCCCTGGCCGTGGTATTTTGTGCAAGAGCCACACTCAAGGGGTCAAAGAGCCGCAAGTGGCTCTGTAGCCGCAGTTTGCCGACCACTGGTCTAATCACTATGCTGTACGCCTGAAACTCATACAAAATAACACGGACTGTAAACTGTAATTGAAAAACATAAAAAAGAAAGGATGAAGAGGCAGTGCTTGCAGGGGCAGCTGACAGACCACCAGCCCGGCACCTCTCCTTTCTGCAAATGCCGCCTGCGTCCTATGGAGAACCCTTCCTCCCTCCAGCACCCAGCCATGGGCCTTTCTTCCTGACGGCAACCGACGGGACCGACGTGGCCACATGACCCGCCGGTGACCTGCCCGGTGGAGCCCCTGCTTGAGATGTTTGCCAACTGCAGCTGGAAAAAGTGTTTTCTTTCTCCGGTGGCCAGAGCTCCAGGCTCAGAGGCTGGTGGAGGCCACGGTTCCTGCCATGTGGTCCGCAGCTGGTCTGAAGACAGGAGGAGCATGCAGAGGGAGTGAGCCGGTCTGCTTGCTTTCAGGCCTCAGGCTCAGCGGCCCTTCTTCGGCCCTTCGGAGTGTCCTGTGTTCCAGGGACATTCCTCTTTTGCTTGAACTGGTTTGCGTTGAGTTTCTATCACTTGCAACAAAAACCCATGACTCATGCAGTGACTCAGAGGCATCACAGGGCCACCCGGGGGGGTGCAGCCTGACACAGCCCTACAGCTCAGGTCTCTCAGGGCTGCCCCGGACCTGTATGTAGCCAGGCGCCTGGCCGTGGGGTGGCTTCTGCTCTGAAATGCTCATGCATACCCCGTCTTTCCCTCCATTGCTCTGTCCTTCCTTGGTTTGCCAGGGGCCTCGTGATTCTCGCTCCTGTACTTGCACAGCTTTGGACATCCAGATGCTGCTGGCCACCCGTGACCCTAAAATCTTGGGACCTTAATCTTCTAACTATAAGGGGAAGGTGATCTGTACCTTTTAGAGAGGCTGTGACAGGTATGAGCTTGGGTGAGGGATGTACTTAAGCCCAGGGCTGGGGACACCAGCGCTCAGTCAGTGAGCTGCCTCAGAGCAGCCAAGGTCAGACCCTCTTTAGCAAAAGAAATGATAGAATGATGGGAGTTTGGCATCTAGAGCCCGGTGCTTGACGTTTCTGCCACGTTCACATTGCTTAATGTTTGAGGATGGACCTGGGGTTGGGGGATGGGCCCCTGCGAACGTAGGAGGAAGCAAGTAGGAGCGGGAACTGGAATCTCCTGGGCCTGGGATTCCCCTGGCGCTTGCTCACGTACCTTCAGTGAGAAAATGACCTCATTGTCCGGATGTGGAATGGACCCGAATGGACCAGGGAAGGAGCAGGTTTCTGTTTGTTCTGGCTGTCGTTTATCTTATCCTTATCACTCTGGTGGACTTAGTATAGCCATCTCAGTGGGTTTAAAGGAACTTCATTACTTTTTATCTGCAAATTAATCTAGCTCAGAAACTTGGGTAAAATGCTCTTGGAATTGTAAGGTGATACCCAATGGCAACACGTATGGGTTTGCTTATTCTGGGTGAATATCTTATTGTGGATCAACATACACAAACATCAAACAGAACCACCCCTCTGAAATGAGCCAGCCACGTCCAAAGTTCTGCCTCACATTAGAAATGCATTTTGCTTTATAAAAGCTCCTCTGGGGCCAGGAAGGATAAAGGAAGTAGAGTGTGCAAATATTCATTTCCAGCCAAAACCGGTTTGGCTCAGTGGATAGAGCATCGGCCCGCGGACTGAAAGGTCCCGGGTTCGATTCTGGTCAAGGGCATGTACCTTGGTTGTGGGCACATCCCCAGTAGGGGGTGTGCAAGAGGCAGCTGATCGATGATTCTCTCATTGATATTTCTAACACTCTATCCTTCTCTCTTCCTCTCTGTAAAATATCAATAAAACATGTTTTTTTTTAAAAAATATTCATTTCCAACACAGTCTGCCTTAAAACTGGGACATCAATAACTATTGTCCTAAAACGGTTATGTCATAAAAATAATGAAAAGAAATAACGAGAATTTTCAAATGTGTTAAGTTTGAAGTGCCCCCAAGATTTTTGTCTTGAGATGATGATTAATAATGTAGGCAGGAAAGTATTTATCTAGTTTTAGGAATTAATGTTATTAGAAGTGGTTCAGAGAGCTTTGGTGGTCACAGCACTAAAAATTTAGTTGCTAAAGTAAGTGTCAGGCCCTGGCCGGATGGCTCAGTCGGTCAGAGCATTGTCCCAATACACCTCTCTCTCTCTTTAAAAATCAATCAACCAATAAAAAATGTTAGAACCGAATACACAATCAGTTTTAAAGTGATGATTGCTACTCATAAAAAGGGGTTCGATGTCAAATAGTTTTTACTGGGCAATAAAATGACACCCAACATTCATTAATGACCTTGTGCTGGGTATGGACTGATCGCTTTATACTCTGTATCCATGTGTCTCCTTACAGCCCGGAGGGAGGCATAGCCATCACTTCTGCTTTACAGGTGACAAGACCCAGGAAAGGAATCTCAAGCGACGTCCTACTGTCTGTTCACGCAGGGAACATGTATGGCCCCTGGGCCCACCTCATGCTCTGTAGGTCAGAAACCCATGGTCCCATGATCACTGCAAAAACTCAACTATCATCATTGGTACTAGTAGTCTCAGAGATCTTACAGACAAGTTCTGGACTATAACTGTTAAATTCCTTATTACATTCCTCCTCAGAACCAGAAAAAACACCACCTTCTTTCCCAGTTGATAATGCACGTAACTTCACTTTTCCAAAATGGAATTGTCCTTCTCGCCATCGTTTTGTTTTCGGGTTCCCTCATCTGTCAGCTCTCAGAATTCATTTTATGGCGATGGCTGCAGTTCCCTGAAATAACGGAGAACACAGGCTCTCTCTTCTTGGACATTTCACGTTTTGATTCAGCTCTTCTTGTCTACGGACGATGTGGCTGCCTCCACACAGGGAGGCTGTGTGATGTATTCCTTCCAAGGACCAGCTTGTTATTCACGCTGGGTTCAGTGGAGGTCCTGACACTGGCTGGCTGTGTGACCGTAAATGAGCTCACTCTGGAGCCTCCATTGACCCACCTGAGAAGTGGGGTAATCCCACCGTAACTCACAGGGTCACGGCGGACCTATGTGAGATGGCGCATTGAACTCCATGCTTCACAAAGCCACGCTGGCTTAAAAAAAAAAAAAAAAAAAAAAGGTTAAGCTACATTTGCACTCTTAAAAGCCAAAAAACTGTAACATGGTGACTCCCAGAAATTATTGCCGAGTAAGATTTCTATATCGCTAATTGTATTATTTTGAAATGTTGTCCTTGCCGATGCTTTTCTTGTAATAACTTCTCTCTCTTACAAACTTTTATTTATTATTTTGTAACAGTCCTTGGTTTGCCTCCGGGCTCATGGTTGATGTCATGAAAATCTGAGAGCCTTTGATCATATGGCTTCATAAATGGGCCACTTTTTTTTTTCTCTAAGCACCAACATTTAAGACATTTAAGACAGAGAATGTTAATAAGACGGTTGACTCATGAAACCTTCCTTGTTTATCTAAGTACCAAGGCTTACTCACACCATTCTCCATAGCCTTAGGACTAGTTGAAGAATGAAAAAGGAGGAAAATATTTGTCATTCTGGAAATGCAATTATTTTTGTGGGATTTTTTTTTAAGTTGGTAACTAATGTCATAAGACAATGTTATGGTTTTGCCTATAAAAAAGCAAGATCCAGACTAAAGAAATATTCCAATCAGCCTGTCCACCAACTGTCTCCACATCTGTTAGTGTGGACTGTGTAGTTTTGATAAGGTAGGTGAGTGAAATTCTTTGTCTACCTTCCAATCTCTTAGTCATATTTTATCCTTGCTTTATATAAACTATTCCAAAAAATGCTTAAAAGCAGAAAATACAGAAGCCTCCTAAACATCAGACTCAAAAGGCGAGGTGAGGGTGCCCCGGATCAGAGGCATGCTGAGGCGGAGAGAGGGAAAGATGAATGGCCAGCACTACCAGCCCAGACACAGGGGTGACTCCGAGAAGCCTCAAGTTCCCTTCCTTCTACTGGGGATCTGATTAGACAGAACAATGTGCCACTGTCTGTCTGCCTTGGAGAAAGGATTTGCTTTCCTATTGTTATAATAGTCCAGCTTCCTCCAGTACAAAGAGAAATACCACTTCCTCACTCAAGAAGCCTGTATGTTTGATCTTCATTCAAAATCAAGCCTTAAGTTACGCATGTGTGCATATAGGTCTTTGGCTGATATGCATAACCCATGGACACGGACAAGAGGGTGCTGAAGACCTGGGCAGGCTGGAGGGGGTCAAAGGGGTGCAAAAGGGGACGTACGTAATACTTTCAACAATAGAGAATTATTATTATTTTTTTAAAAATCAAGCGTTAGCATGGTAAATACCCATGAGTGCAGAGATCATGAACTGTTGTGTGGTGTCCACTCCTCACCTTGGCCGGGGCCTGACATCCAGAGCGAGTCTGAACTTTCACGTGGTCCCGAGCGTGTTGGACAGGCTCACGCCTGTGGGCATACTTTCTGATCAGCCGTGGCACCTGCTCCAGAAGGAAGACACGGCACAGAGCAGGACGCCCAGGCAGTAGACCACCCGGCGGATAAAGCTAAGTCTGCAGTGTTTTTCCAGCCTAAAGGTCTTGACTTGCTCTGACATATCTGGTGGAGTCTAGAGACCGGGGCAAAGACCAAAGGGGCCAGATTGCTTAAAAAAAAACACCACCAAAATACTTGAAACTCTTGGTCATCCGTTAACCTTTTCAAGCAATTATTTTGCAGAAAAAGAATACTTAACACTTAGCAGTGTTGTTAGTTGTGGCGAAATATTGACAACAGTCCTAAAATGGAAAATCAGATATATATGCAGAAGTGGGTTTCTGTGCAAGGGGAAGAGGCTGTCTGACTAACACCCCCCCCCGCCAATCTGAATTTCCTTCCTTTTGCCTTCTGATAGAGATGCCAGGGGGGAAGTGAGATAGCTGTAGCTGCCCAGTCCTCCTTTCCCTGGACCAAAGGCGTAAACCCCTTCTGTGTTAAATTAAGTGCCAATACAGTTTTAACCCCTTGCTAACTAGCTCTATCCCAGGCTCCTGTGCTTTGAAGTCCTGATGTGCCAAGACTGAAGGCTGACCACCTCAAAACTCAATGTCATTCCCCCCCTCAGTGACTGGATCCTGAATGTTTTAGGAAAAGCCATGCACACAAACTATGTTTTCTTAGCCTTTCTTGCAACTAGGTGTGGCCATGTGACTGATGAATAAGTAGGAAGGCTGGATTATCCTTCTAGGGGGTCCCTAATAGAGAGGGGGTGAACCATGTCAGAATGGCTGTCCTTATTCTTTTTTCCTACATGGAAAGCAACCAGCAGCCATTACGGACCAAACAGTGATCTTGAGAAGGAAGCCAAGACGATAGAAGGAGCATGAGTCACTGATACCGTGGAATGCCCTACCAGCACTAAACGCTACCCCCAGACTTGTGACATAAGAGGTAAACAAAGCTCTATCTTTAGAAGCCATTTCTCACATGCAGCTGGACCTCGTCCCAGCAGATGCACGTGGGAAACTGTTGAAGGAAACTCTCTGAAATATTAAGCATTTGGTGTACTAAACACAATAGCAAACACATGCATTAATGATGCCAACAGTTTACCTTTTAGAGGTTCTGACTAACCTTGTGTGTAGAGGTGGCTTGTCACCATACAAACACAGGGTAATGGATGTCTTTATTTCTTAGGGTACCATCCTTAAAGATGCCAGAAGGCTCAGAAATCATGTTTTATGTTCAATAACGACCAAAATGCATGTTGACATTGTATATACTTCACAGAATTAACATTTTCAGTTGTGAGGGTGTAAAAATTTGTTTAAAGGGGGTTTTTAACTAAGAAGACTTGTTTTACTGAGTGCCCTTAGCACAGGCATTGTGTTAAGCATTGCATAACTTGTATCTTTACAGATAGATACATACTATTCTCACTTAACAGAGAGGCAAATAGAAGAGATACATTACTTGCCCGAGGTCACATGGCAAAGTCAGAAATCAAACCAAGGTCAGTCAGATTTCAGAACCTGTTACGAAATACCAAACTAAAGCATCTTCCATGTTTATATTTTTCTAGTCTTGACCATCCTATAAATTCCCCATCGAGCCTTGTCAGAGTGGCAGTCCTTGTTTTTGTAAATTAGAAGGTGAAAACCCCGAGAGGACTCATTTATCCTTAAGGCACAGGTAGTCATGTTGTCAAGAATTGGAACGAACCCCAAGGACAGAGAGAGCCAGAGCCACTCTCAGCAAAGTACCCTGGTCTCCTCCACAAGTGTGATTTAGAAGCCTGGCTCTTTAAAAAAAACAAACGCACAAACAATCACCATCAAAGGTCACTGACACTCCACCTGGGGATATTAGAAACGCCATTGAATTAATACAGGCAACCACATAGGTTGTTATATTTTAATCAAAATCAGGCATTAAATGGCATAAAATACTCTATATATCTCTTCACTGTTCCAAATCTCATACACTTCAGACCCAAACATGACAGAAGAAGTTCCAACCATTATTTTGACCAGCCTCCCCAATCCCAAAGGAGATTCAAAAGTAATATAAAAAAAGTTAAGGTCAAGGTGCCTTAATGTAAAAGCCAACGACTAACCACTGTTTAGCTCCTCCCTCAATGCTGCTGAGCTTACCTCCTGTTAAACAAGTGGCTAGTCACGAGTTCCCTGGGTGCTTGTCCCTGAATGCAGGCCACGCTCTGGCCACACAGTAGGCACTTTAAGTGGGGGTAGTTCCCTCTTCCAGGTTGGGGCCAACGTTTGGCTCTCGAACGCAAGAGGAAAGAATTGCCAGTCCAGCCCTGGCTGGGTGGCTCTGGCTGGCGGCATGAAAGGTTCACAGGTTCTATTCCCTGTCAAGGGCATGTACCTGGGATGCAGGTTGGATCCTGGCCTGCGGGGGGGCCATGTGTCTCACATGGATGTTTCTCTCCCTCCCCCTTTCACTCTCTTTAAAAGTCAATGAAAAAATAGATCTCCAGGTGAGGATTCACAACAACAAAAACAACGGGACAGTCCCACAGACTATCCCGGGAGTCTGCACTCTGGGCTGAAGCGCTGGGATTGAGAGGATGCTCCAGCACAGCTGCACCAGATGTTGTGGGGCCTGGGGGGTGGGGGGGAGGGGAAGGGTTGCCAAAGTGGGGTAGCGGCACCATGGCCCGCTCTGCTTTTTTCTTTTTTAAATATATATTTTATTGATTTTTTACGAGGAAGAGAGAAGGATAGAGAGCTAGAAACATCAATGAGGGAGAATCATCGATCAGCTGCCTCTTGCACATCCCCTACTGGGGATATGCCCGAAACCAAGGTACATGCCCTTGACGGGAATTGAACCCTGGACCCTTGAGTCCACAGGCCGACACTCTATCCACTGAGCCAAACCAGTTTCGGCCCGCTCTGCTTTCTGTCCCAGTGTCCTGAGTGATGGGCCGTCCGCACAGGGGCGCGCTCAGTGTGGATGTAGCGGTGCACGGGCGGGCTCTGCACCATCAGCACGAGGCTGGCCGTAAACAGCAGGCAGGGCTGCAGATCCAGCTCGGCTCTGCGGAGCCATCACCCCCCGAAGACGCCCCTGGTGACACCAGCTCCAGTGCAAACCCGCTCCCCTAATCCGCGTCGTCCACATCCTCCCCCGCAGTGGCCGCGGCCAGAGCCGCCAGGGCCTCGGCCACCTCCGCGTCCTCTTCCTCCTCCTCCTCGGCCTCCCCGCCTCCGGGGGCGCTGCTGTGGGCGTCCTCCCGCCCGCTCCTCCCATCGGCCACGGCTGGGGCGGGGTCCCCTTCTTCCAGGTGGACGCTCAGGGCCTCTGCAGCCACGGCCCCGTTTACCGAACCCCAGCTCCTCTTCCCTGAACCCCAGCTCCTCTTCCCCGGGAAGGAGAGGGGCAGGTCCGGCCCCTGCTCCCCCGCGCCCGGGCGCGCTTCCTCCGGGCGCTCCTCCTGCTCCTCCTCCTCGGGGTGGCCCTGGAGGACCCCCTCTTTCCCCCCGTGATCCACGTGGTCTCCAGCCGGGCCCTGGTGTGGAGGGTAGTCCGGGGCCGGTATCCGGGGGACAGGGTCCGGCACGTCCCCGGTGGGACACTCAGCCTTGGGAGAAACCCTGGAGTCTCCGTCCCAGACGACGCGGGTGTCCCCCAGCGCAGGGTCCGTCTCCCCGGCGCCCCCTCTTTCCGGGAAGGGGTGATCTGGGGGCACGCTGTTGGCGGTACTGGCCCAGGAGCCCGTGCCATCCTGGGAGGGCCCAGGGTCCCCGGCGGGCCCGATGCCATTGATGGTACCACCAGTCTTGTCCGCACAGGGGCCGCCTCCCGTGTCCCCCGGAGGGGGCGGCTCCTGGGGAGGCCAGCAGGGCTCCTGCGGCCCAGCCCTCCTGCCTCTGCTCCCCGTCCTCCTCAAGCCCTCCCGCTGGAGGTCATTTCTGTGCACCGGGACCTCGCCGCTCTGTTTGCCTTTCAGTTTCACGGTGTCCTCCTCGTCCAGCTTGCAGCTGCTCACTTCGTTGACGTAGCCCGGGGAGGGCACTTGAACTGGGTCGAAGAGATAGCTGGGGGCGAGAACAATGAAGACCAGTCAGATTATCTTTTATTTGTTCACCACTTTATGAATCACCAACTTCCATGATGGGTAATTTCTGCGACAGGCTCTGCTGCTTCTCTTCCTGTGAATGTCTGTGTTTAGTTAATGTAGGTAAGGCTGTATATGCGCCTAAATCAAATAGATAGAGTTGGCATAAAATGTTCGGTCACTGGATATAGATCTTGAAAAGATTCAAAAGAAGATGGGACGAAGGTACAGAACAAAGTTCATGGAATTTGAAAACAAGCAAAAAAAAAAAAGTAAGTAGAAAGAAAAGAAATGTGCAGAATCAGGGAACTAACTGGTTAAGTACGGATGGTCCTCAATGGGATATTATACAGTCATTAAAAGGATAAATAGGAAGTCTGGACTATCATGAAAGATACTTCTTTTTAAAAAAATATATTTTATTGATTTTTTTACAGAGAGGAAGGGAGAGGAGATAGAGAGCTAGAAACATCAATGAGAGAGAGACATTGACCAGCTGCCTCCTGCACACTCCCCACTGGGGATGTGCCCGCAACCAATGTACATGCCTTGACTGGAATCAAACCTGAGACCTTTCAGTCCGCAGACCAACGATGCTCTACCACTGAGCCAAACCGGTTTCGGCACATGAAAGATACTTCTAATAAATATTGTTTGTAAAGTGTAACATCACATGATTACGGGGGAGTAACATTTACACATGTATGTGTTGTGTATATACTTACAAATGGAAAATAATATGTACATGTAGATAGATATGGAATAGAACTATAATAACACATACATTTGTTTAAGGAAGCAAAATCATTAGTTAATTCCCTCCCGCCTTTATTTTATAGAGAATTCGGTTCCTATTACCCACATTTTGGGACAGAATCTGGAAAGAATTAAAAGCATATATGTGCTAAAACCGGCTTGGCTCAGTGGATAGAGCGTCAGCCTGCGGACTGAAAGGTCCCAGGTTCGATTCCGGTCAAGGGCATGTACCTTGGTTGCAGGCATATCTCCAGTGGGGGGTGTGCAAGAGGCAGCTGATCGATGATTCTCTCTCTTCGATGTTTCTAACTCTCTCTCTTTCTTCCTCTCTGTAAAAAGTCAATAAAATATATTAAAAAATAAAATAAAATAAAAGCACATATGTGACCAGGGCGATGTATTGTCAGCATGCCATTTCAGGCTCCCACCCAAACCGAAGCTTTGCTTTGCATTACTCCCTGGAGAGATGTAAATTCAGCCCAAACCAAATTCAGTCTCAGAGACTGATGGAGTTCCCGACATCTCTGAGAAGGGAACAGCAACAACAACAAAGGGGGTTTAATATCTAGGCCACAGATCCTCCTACATGACATCAGAGCAGTGACAAATCCTTAATGTCTTGGCCATGCTGCTCACGCCCCAACGAGATAAATGCAGAATCAGCGCAGGGTCTGTAAGAGGGAGGTTCCCTCCGCGGGAACCCCGACTCCTCCATTCGAATGAGGCATTTCCCCCCAACGTTACCTGTGTATCATTTTGCAGCACCTGCACCCCATCTGGATTATTTTTCGTTATCATCTGGGAAAGAAAACCTAAAAGGGAGAAAACACAGTGAGTAACATTTTAATATCAATGAGGCTTGCTTTTTCTTTCCTGGCTACTCATATGTTAGTGGAGCCGCAGTTTTTGGCAGGAAGATAACACGTGGGCCAGGGAGGCCCTGCTGTATCGGCAATCACCGGTTCCGAGCTCTCAGACATTCACTGATACTTGTCTGTGTGCCAGACCCTTTCCCCAGCGCTGGGAGTTTCGTATGCCATTTGCATTTTGCAAATGAGGAAACACTGGTTGAAAACAGTGGGGAGGGAAAGGAGGGATTGTGCTTTTTCCTATTCCACTGCCTTCTTTGGGGGACATGGGGGCCTAACCAGGGGGCAGCAGGAGGTGTAAGAGGGAGGGGAGGTGTCCGTGCCAGGGATGAGCTGCTCCAGTCTTCAAGGACTTCAGGACGAGGCAGCTGACACACATGTTCCACGTCAGAGACCTGAGGAGTTGAGAGCCGGGCTGTCATCACAAGCTTCAGCCCGACGCACCTGCGCCTGCTCTGCCCTTCCCGTCGCCGGGCGGATGCTGGCCACGATTCGTGGCCTCCACTCCCGCAGTCCAAGTGGGCTTCCTGGTGGCAGGTGGCCTTGGGTCTGTGCTTCTTCCATTTCTCACCTGCCCCGTCTCCCGCCTTTTCCCAACGTGGCATTTCCCCCCTGCAAACTGCCCTCTGAATAAAACCTTCTCTGCACGGGAAACCGACGACATTGTTCTGATCTTTCCTTTGAGTCATTCTCCAATTTGAATATTTGCGACCTTCTCGAAGACGAGCCATAGCCCCCGTCCCTCTGCGTCCACAGGATGCGGGCTCTTGAAACAGAGAGAGATCCCTCGCTGTTGATGGGGTTACTGCCTCCAGTCACGAAAGGATTTCCCAGGATGCTGCCTCACAAGCCTTTAACCGCAAAGAAAACACCCGGCGTTTTCTCAATAGTACAGACCGGCCAGTTGGTTACAAGGGACTAGGTTAGCGGTCGGCAACTCGTCAGTCAACAGAGCCAAGTATCAACAGGACAACGATTGACATTTCTTTTGAGAGCAAGACTTTTTAAGCTTAAACTTCTTCTAACGCCACTTCTTCAACATAGACTCGCCCAGGCCGTGGTATTTTGTGGAAGAGCCACACTCAAGGGGCCAAAGAGCCGCATGTGGCTCTATAGCCGCAGTTTGCCGACCACTAGACTAGGTTGACACTGATAAATCCAATCCACAAATAACCTCCTATGGAGGCTAAAGATGCCTCACCCCCCAAAATGGACACATCCTAACCTCTGCAACTTGTGAATGCTGCCTCCTAGGACCAAAACCAACCAAACACACCTTGGCGGATGTGATCACAGATGGGAGATGGGGAGAGCGGCCTGGCTCACCTGGTTCAGAGCCTAGCTCTGCCTCTGACTGGCTGTGTGATCTCTGACTGGCTGTGTGACTCAGGGCCGCAGCTATTTTTTTTTATTATTATTAAATATATTTTATTGACTTTTAACAGAGAGGAAGGGAGAGAGATAGAGAGCCAGAAACGTCGATGAGAGAGAAACATCGACCAGCCGCCTCCTGCACATTCCCCCACCGGGGATGTGCCCGCAGCCAACGTATATGCCCTTGACTGGAATCGAACCCGGGACCCTTCAGTCCGCAGACTGATGCTCTACCACTGAGCCAAACCGGTTTTGGCAGGGCTGCAGCTATTTCATTGGTACTAAGTAAATGGGGATAATAATATACCAGTGCATGGTGTTGCCGGGGATTATACAAGTTAATATTCATACTAAGCATCTGCTTATTATTCAGCTCTGTTAGGATACAGCATGCTTAAATAAATAAATAAATAAATAAAAATTTAAAAAAATTGAGGCCTTGTCCCTAAGGAAGATTAGTCTAGGAGCCATGACGTACACAGACACACCGAGGAAGGCTTGCTTCTGGCACATGAGCCAAATGATATATTTCTACCAACGTGGCACTGATGGAAAGACCAAATCCCCAGGGCAACAGAGGATGGACAGGCAGAGACACCACTGGGGGCTTGGCCCGGGAATATGTGTGTGCAAGCTTGTCCTCCTTCAAGGCACTCTCAGGTAAATGACCCCCGGGCTTTGTTTCCAGTCTCTGCTTCCTCTGCATGCCCATTTCCTACGAATGTTACGTATATTAGCTGGACAGATGGCATGAAAAGTGCCACATGCACCTCCTGTCCTCCACCAACCTCTGTCCTCCCCTCTCCCCTTTCGGTCCACACCCTGCTCTGAAATCCTACCCATCCGTGCTAGCACTACCTTTGTTTACCTTGGTCTCTAGTTAAAAAAAAAAAATCAGCCAGGAAAGGTCCCCCCCTTCTCCAACCCCCCCCCCCCCCACCCTCCCACTCCAAAAAAAGTTTTTAAGTGTTTGAGAGAGGGCAGACCGTGGGTGAGAATAACGTGATTGAAGCAACTGTGAAATATCAAGCACTGAACACTATCAGGGCGGTCAACTTTAGGACGGTGAGTTCAGGAGTTGCTCAGGGGGAGGTTTCCTTCTGAGAGGGAGGAAGGCAGGAAGGCAGGCATGTCTTGAGTGACACCCTGTGTTCCTAGCGACGGAGAGACTGACTCGGGTCCACCTCGGGCAGCCCTGGCCAGGCTGGGTGACGCACCCTCTGCTGCGGAGGCTGTGGCCGTGGCCACATAAGCAACATGATGCAATGACTGCTGAGATTTAATAGCCCGATGAGAGAGCCAGCACCTCCTGTTTCTTACAGAATTCACACGTCACCGTCTGTGGCTGTTAAGAACCGCCGCCCCCCCCCCCCCCCCCCCCCCGCCGAAAACCACAGGATCTATATTTTTCTTCAAAACCAAAAATTGTGAGGGATGTTTCGATGACTGTCCCCTTTCGGGATCAACTTTCCAGTCTGGCTTCTCCTCCCACTGCCCCTCTAAGGCACACCGCCTGGGCTTCCTACAGACCTGGTCCCCAGCCCGAGGGCCATGCTCCCGGCCTCTCCCAAGCTCAATGAGACCGCTCTGGCCTCCAAGGCTGTGGGAGGGCTGATGAAAAGGGGGGTGGGGAAGGGGGGGGGACAAAGGTATTTACAGCCGAGTCCGGCCTGACCCTATCTCCAATGATTCATCCTTGTTTGATGATTCCTAATTGCAAATACAACTTATTTCTCTTTTCATGTCACCCCCACTTCAATACCTTGCTTTTAGGAAGGCGTCCTCCATTGCTGGGTGCAAAAAGGAAACACCATTCATTACCTGCGTGATCCGTGGATGCAAATGGGAAAAACACTCCCAACGAGTAAGTCTGAGCTAAGAGTGGGCAGACTGTCTGCTCTCTCTGCCCCGCTTTGGCGACAGCTAACTCGCAGGTGAGAAGCCAGCTGTCCGGTGCCCTTTGTGACTTAGCAGCGTGGAAATGTACTTTCTCTTTGGAGTAGGAAAAAGCAACAGAGAAGCAAAGGGCAGATCCTTCCTGTTTACACAGGGGAAAGCAAACACCATGAGGGGGGCGTGCCCAGCGGCGCTGGCACCTGCCCACTCCGGAGTCCGCGCTGGGAGCTGACTCTGTCCTGGGTTTGGTGTGGACGTTACACAGACCGGTGTTTGAAGATGGACATGGCAACATCCCATCCGTTCCTAGCAAGTCTCCTTGCTGGAGAATCCCGTTCCCTAAGGCGGAGCGGGTGGAGGTGGGAAGAAGGGAAAAGAGGGGAGAGCCACCAGTCTGCTGAGCAGACAGAAATCGACTGGAAAGTCACCAGGAAGTGAAGGGAATATAGGAAAAGGCTCCCCCAGCGGGAAAGGACTGCCTGTATAGACTAACAAACAGTATTAAATCAATGCTCCCTTCCTGATTTGGATCATTGTACTGGGGGCTATATAAGACAATGGCCCTGTTCTTAGAAAATACACAGTAAAATAAAGTATTTAGGAGTAAAGAGCATGGGATCTGTAACTTGTTAAAATAATTCAGGAAAATAATGTGTATGTGTGTGTGTGTGTGTGTGTGTGTGTGTGTGTGGAAAAGAGAATATATTCAATGTGGAAAATGCCAACATTTGGGGACTCTGGTTACAGGTTATGTGGAGATTCTTTTATTTTTTAATTTAAATGATTTTATCGTGAAATTTTGTATAAAACAAAATTCAGAAGAACTAAGACAGTAGTTAAGCTTACTGAAGTCCCATAGACCTTTCTGAATGTAGCTGTCATTCTAAGTCACATGTGTCAAACACAAGGCCCGCGGGCCAAATCCGTCCCGCCAGGCCTTGCAATGTGGCCCGCACCGCGCTGTCATCACTGCACTCCGCTGCGTTTCCATCACAATGACAGTTTATGACTGTTCAGTAAACCATTCGGCCCGCGATTTAGGCTGGGTTTTAGATTTTGGCCCCTTCTCTGATTGAGTTCGACACCCCTATTCTAAGTATTTAACAGGTAGTCCCAGGCCTGCACCTCAAAGGCCCAGGCCCAGCTCCTGCCCTCTGGCTGCCTCGTGTAAAGAGGGAATCAGCCAGAGGGCAGGAACTAGTGTCTAGTGCTGGGGTTTTGCCAGCTGTCTGCTGCCCTACTAAGCACAGGCTCCTCACAGACAATGCCTCACCCTCCCCAAGGCCAGCTCACACTAAGGAGCACCTCATCTTGGTATTCAAACAAAGCAATGACTGGCAAGTGCCATGTGCCAATGAGTGAGTGAGCTACATGGAATATTATAAGTTATTATTCCTGTAGAGAGTCTACTCTTCCTATGATCAAATCTCACTGTACTGAACGGTGGCCCAAAAGGAGAAGCCGAGTGCAAGAGCTGAGAGAGATGCGAGGAATCCTGGTCCCCGCCCCCCCCCCACCCCCCGACACAGCCAAACCTCCCATGTGTGACCCCAAGGTCAAGGATGTTCCGCTTCAGGGGTCCCGTTCAGCGAGCTCTCAGGGCAGCTGCTGGGAAGTGGTTCGAGTTTGTCGGAGCCGAAGTGCTTGGAAGAGAGACAGAGTAAAACCAAACGTGGCAAGTACAGCTCCGTGTTGAAAACCCAACTCGCCAGTGTTTATAGAAAATAGTTGGGATCGCACGTAACCTGGTCTGCAGGTGAAGTCTAACCTGGTCAGCAGGTGAAGTCAGCAAATATTTAGGGAGCCGATTCTGGGTACTGAGCTCTCAGACTCAGAGGGGAATGAATGAAAGTAACTACCAGGTGCTCATAAAGCAGAGGAAAGACTGCCTGCCCCCTCCACAGATCATGCTGAATCTCCGGTTGGCAAAGGAAGATGCATTCTTGACTATCTGTCTCCTCGGCAGAGCCAGTTCCTCCTTTCCCGGCAGGCTTTGCAAACTCTCCCACCACATTTTCCTGCTGTGCTTCCCTTTCTACTAAAGAACCTGAGCTTCATTGATTGTGAGAAACCTCCAGACTCTGTGGAGCCCTTATCACCTTCAAAGGGTCCATATTTGCACTCGCAGCAGCCGATGTCTACGATACAGGTGTTGGCATCCCCTAGAACTGGCTCTGATGGGCCATCTGTGTGCAGGGATGTGTTTGTGGGTCTCCCCTAAAGAAGGGGTTCCTTGGTCAAGCAGGTTTGGGCACAGGAGAGAATAAAGATGAACACATTCAGCCAAAACCAGTTTGGCTCAGTGGATAGAGTGTCGGCCTGCGGACTGAAAGGTCCCAGATTTGATTCCGGTCAAGGGCACATACCTTGATTGCAGGCACATCCTCAGTGGGAGGTGTGCAGGAGGCAGCTGGTCGATGTCTCTCTCTCATTGATGTTTCTAGCTCTCTATCCCTCTCCCTTCCTCTCTGTAAAAAAAAATCAATAAAATATATTTTTAAAAAAGATGAACACATTCATAGTTACAAAAAGGAACGATTTCATTCTGCCTAACCTAGTACTTCCCCAAATTATTTGAGCCCAGAACTTTTCTTGTTCCATAAAATACAATTAACAACCAACACAACCTGTGTTTTGTGGAACATGCTGGGGAAAACAGCTGTCAGGATGACAGTCCTAATCATCTGGTGGAGTCTGTGCTCTAAGGGCATGTGTAATGTGGTAATTGGGTGAAAACAGCCCCTAAAGTCTGAGCCGGGTGTAGGACATGCGGGGCCTGGCACCAGCTCTGTCACCAGCCCCAGAGACGTGAGGAAGCTGGGAGATCTCTGGATCCCTTTTCTTTATCTGCAGGAGGAGTGATTCTTCGGCACCAGGCTTTCCTCCGCATCGAACCTAATGATCTCCACAGTGACCCGGGAAGAAGGGAACTCAGCCTGGAGCACAGTTACCTCATTGAGTCCTGACAACGCCACTGCTGGCAAGCACCAACGTGACCCTTCGCAGGTGGGAACCCCGCTCCACGGTGTGCCAACACCCCATGCGCTGCCAGTGAGGTGTGTTGGGTCCCAAGTCCACACTCACCCGACCCATGATCCTGACTGACAGCAGAAAGCTCCCTTCCACCTCCCTTTCCCTGGCCCATCTCCTCTGGAACTGTGTCCCACACCCTGGAGCCCCGAGATGGGGAGAGAGTGGGTGTCACGGCGAGGTTCCTGGGAGAGATGAGGACCCAGATGAGGACACCCTCTGGGGTGGAGGTAGATGTGTAGGGTGGGAGATCCATCACACCACACAGGCAGTTCAGCAGAGTGGTTAAATGAACAATTTAGAGGTGTGGGTTCCAATTCTGCCTCCTCCCCTTATCAGGTTGGTGAGCCTTGGATAAATTTCTTAGCCTCCACGAGCATCAGTTGTCTAATCTGCAAAATGGGATGGATAACAGTTCCTGTTTGTCAGGATCACTTGGAACATTAAATGAGAGGAAATTATCTAAGGCATTTACTGTAAATGTCTGGCACACTGCCAGGGCTTAGTACTAACTATAGTAAGTAGTTAAAATCTGAGTATTGACTGTGCATCAAGTACTGTTTTAAGAACTTTCATGTATTCGTTCACTTTAACTTAATCCTGTTAGGTGAAAACCAGAATTTTATCGTTAAGTAAATAGATATCAAAGTTACAAAGTGGTACAGTGTGGTTATTATTAGCACTGTTGCTACTAATTGTCAATATTTTCTGATTATATAATATGTAATTACATCTATTATATAATATTTCCTATTGTATTACTATAACCTGTCTTGGTAGGTTCTGTTTTCTGAGTCCACTAGATTATGCAATAAAAAGCAGATAGGTGTGTTTTTATCTATTCACCACCAGATGGCAGTATATAGCGGTTACAATATTTAATTTATGGCAAGGATGTCAAACTCAAAGGCTAACATGGGGCCAAATAAACAAGGTGTAAAGCTATGTGGGCCACAAAAACAAAACAAAACAAAACAAAACAAAACAAAACAAAACAAAACAAAAAAACCCAAAAAACAAAAGCTCCGATTTTCCTAGAAATGTAGGTTAATTTAGAAAAGTATAGTATATATATATAAAAAGATCATGAGCTATGATAAACTTAAGTTTTCTTCCTGACACTTGGCATCTCTTCTCTGCTACTATCTTTCCTACTTTGGGGGAAATCTTGTTCGCAGTGATTACTTTCAAAACTGACCCAAGGTGAATGTCAGTCATTCTGGACCTGACAGGGGACTTATTTCCTTTCATAATTGTAAATAACTGCTCATACTGTTATATTGGCTGGGCTGCAAAAATATCCATTGTGAGTTTGACATGCTTGACCTATGGTAATTTCAAGAAAGGGACTTGATATGGGGAAGGTCTCAGAAACACGAGAATTGGGACACACATAGTGTAGGTGTTCTGCCATGTAGCAAAGCTAGGGAGGGAGTGATGTGGTAAATATTTGAGACAATTAGTGTCCCCTGTAAGTTGGCCATGAGGTTTATTCAGTCGTCTGGCCAGACTATTGTGGGCTCCTGCAATTCTATTTAGACTTCTTTTGATGCAATGACTGTTCATCAACCCCCAAATGGGGGATCTGGGTTTCTCTCTCCCACCTGTATGTGTGGACAATAATTCTGCGGGAGAGGCTGGGAGAGGAAGGAGCATATGGGGTGTGCAAAGGCCCAGCTCCTCCCCCTGGACCCCACAGCATCACCCAATCACCTTCTTTATAAATGTGGACTCGGGCCTGGAAGGGTAAAATAGAGGACAAGAGAACACAGACTGTCCCGTATCTGTAGAGGACCCTCGGTGTGCAGAATTGGGATCCTAAAGTTTTTTTTTTTTAATTCAAGTAAAAATAGATTTTGCATTTGAGAAGACTGAGTAAAGTTCCTACTGGAGACTAGACTCTCTACCAGTTACTAGGATACAAAAAGGCAGAAGACCTCCCTGTCTGTTAAAGGCCCGTCACCCATCCATGCAACAAACATGTCCTGAGCATCTATGTGGTGTGCCAAGTACTGGACTTGATTCCAGGGATCTGGAAGGAGTGTACAGTCCAGGAAAGGAGACAGTTATATAAAGACATGCCTCATAACGTGTTGTATTGAAATGCTATACCATATGTGACATAAGGTGGGGAGTGCCTGAGTAACCTTGGGAAGATTGGAAGAGGCTTGTGGGCGAAGGTGAGCAGATAATGGTGCAGATGGGGTCCAGGGGGCACCCCAGGTAGAATACAGTGCCAGCTCAGGATCGCGAGGAGGTGGGAATGCCACCTCTTACACCCTCTCTCTTAAATGTACCCTCTAATGAGGCAAGATAAAGGTAGATAAGGTTTTACATCAAGGAGGCAGCTTGACCAGCCAGAATTTGCAGGGGCAAACAAGGTCAATGCACACACTACTTTCATGACCCCATGAGGGAGAACAGGCTGGTTCCACTGGAGTAAGCTGGACAACAGATCCCATCCTCATGTCGGGCTGAAGATGGAAATGGTAAGGGAGTTGGGGGAAAAGACCCAGAGAGAAATAAAAGAAGGGAAGGTCTGCAATCCTAGGGCCTGGCTTCTAACCTTGAGTGCACCAGAATATCCTCACCCCTAGACTTCTGACTGAGCAGGCCTGGGGAGGGGCCCGAGAATCTGCATTTCTAACAAGTTCCAAGCGAGGCTGATGATGTTGGTCCTGGGAACACACTTTAAGAATCACTATTTGGGAGGGATGGTCTTTATTGGGGAAATCCCATGTTGCCTGGGGAGACAGAATAACTGAAAATCTTTCAGGGTGAAGATCTAGTTGGATCTCACGGGTTTGAGAACTGTAGCCCCAAACAACAGAAATAAAAAAGGAAACTGAGTTCTACTCAAAGCTGAATGGGCCAGAAAGATACAGACTTTGGGGTTTACTCTGCCTGCTGGTTTTAATGTTTTAGGTACTAAAAACTGTAGTGAAAGACCAAGTAACCGAAAATTTAATGGGTAGTAGAAAGAATAGACTTCCCCTCACACAGCATTAAAATAAGAAAACAGCTTACCTGTTGTGAAGATTGTCCATCAGGTTTCTCTAGAAGTTTAACTTCTCTTCCTATAACAACAAAAAAGTTGAAAATTGAGGTCTGCAAGGTGCCTCCATGAAACAGCCAAGTTGCATCAACCAAGTGACAGAGGCGAGGGTTTCCTCAGAGGGGCCAGGCCATGATAGGGGGGATGGAGTTCCTGATCTGGAGCAGTCAGCCAGGCGGACAAGCTCTAAAGTCACCAGGCCCAGCTCCTGACACTCACCCTTCAATGAACAATTTACCCAAACTCCAGTATTTCTTCTATGAAATAAGACTGCAGCGTGATTTAAATGGCACAGCATGTGAGCTATTTAGCCCATGCTGGAATTGTTCAATAACCCAAAGCTATTGCTCTTGATTACTGTTGACAAACATTACTTGACAACACGTCTCTTCTCTGATGGGTAAGGTTTCAATTGAGCAGAAAGAAATTCAAGGCATTTGCCGAAACCGGTTTGGCTCAGTGGATAGAGCGTCGACCTGTAGACTGAAGGGTCCCAGGTTCAATTCCGGGCAAGGGCATGTACCTTGGTTGCGGGCACATTCCTGGAAGGGGGTGTGCAAGAGGCAGCTGATCGATGTTTCTCTCTCATCGATGTTTCTAACTATCCCTCTCTCTTCCTCTCTGTAAAAAATCAATAAAATATTAAAAAAAAGAAAAGAAAAGAAGACATATTTGCTTCTTGGAGACATATCCATAAAGTTTTAATGAACACATGTAAAATATTTTGTTAAAATACATAGTTTAGAAAATAGCTTTGCTTATAATGAAAATGATGTCTAGAATTTGAAAGTAAAACAAATGTGTAAACTTTTACCAATTTATCAATTATTAGAATAATTCACTATCTATAGACTCAATTTTTTAAAAAATGCTCTTATCCTACAAGCCATTCCCCTGTTAAGGAGCCTTAAGAAGCATTGCCTACCAGTCTTTAGTGAACTCAGCTAAGCATCTCTTTCTTTCACCATTGGCTTTCCAGCGTTATCTTTGAAACTCCTTAAGCCACACCTATCTGGATTTTTCACTATTTTCTAAACATGCCCATATTGTTCTGTTTCGATGCCTTTGCACATGTGCTTTCCCCTGGTTAGCTTGCCTCCATGCCCATCAATATTTTGCAAAATTCTACTGATCCTTCAAAACTTATTTCACACACCACTTCCTCCATGAAGATTTAAAAAAAATCCAAATAAAGGTAACTACTCTATTCTTTTACTTTCTATAGGACCTTCAATCTGTTGGATGGGTCTGCTCGTTGTATGCCTTGTATGATAGTAACTCATTTATATAACATTCCCTCCATTAGACTGTAAACTCTGAGGAAGAAAGGGCCCTGGCTTCATTATTTAACTAGATGTTGTATTTCTTCATACGCTGACTTACATTGCATGTCTTTTAAAAAAAGTTGACATAGGATGTTAAAAACAGGGTCTCTACCTTGAGTACAATTATACTCAAGAGATGTGTAAGATATGGTCCATTTACCCAAGAACCTCCTAAGATGAAAATGAACACTATCCAGAGACAGAGTAAGAATTTTACAAGCTCTAAGCATAGTAAAGATCATGATATCAAAATAAAAACAACTATAAAAAAAAGACACTTCAAAGAAATCCTATTTTTTTCCTAGGATGATTTTTTGAAATAATAAATTCTTTTAAAAGAAACTATTCTTGGCACACTTGCTTTGCCCGTGCCTTAGGTGCATGACTAATTTGTTGGACAAGCTAGCATTAACATTACATTGGGTTGTATGTGTTGAGGACCCAATGACTGGTACAGCTAATCAGTGCTAAGCATCACGGGAGCATGGGAGAAAAAGAAAGCCCAGTGGGACTGGGCTGCCAAGAAAGAGTTTAAGGTAAGGTGACCAGATTTTAACATTGGTAAAGCGGGACACCATTGACTGGGGGGTTGGGGTGGTTCTTGATTAAAAATTTGCTCTATATGGAGCAACAAAAATTTTCATAGAACACAAAAATAGTATTGTAATATATTTTTTAAAATTTCAACGTAAGTACAATTTACAAATATAATAAATAAATAAATTATGTATAGTATTATTGTATTCTTTGCCTATTTCTCATTTGAGTGAATTTTTTTTTTTAGTAGATTGCTGTCGTTGTTTAAAAGATCATGAAATTTTTCACAAGAATTTGTTAAATTATATTTCACACATAAAATGGCTTTCAAAGTCTCAACACTTAATTGTGCTTTTTCTAATGTCCACACTTTATTTACTGTAGAAAAAACGCGTTTAGTCGCAGCATTAGTTCTTGGTAAGGACAGTGCGTATTTCACAATTCTAACAACTGATCAACAATGCAAACTTTGATAAGCAGTTATCGATAATCAGTTCTCAACAATTATTTGTTATTATTAAGGTTTAACATTATAAAATTAACAAAAACAATATAAAATTCATATCCTGGCTAAATAGCCACATGGCCGCCGAAAACAGTATATTCCCTCCCCGTCCTCCCGCCGTTCCCTAGCTTGTCCTGCATTCTTTCCAAAAACCGGGATTTTTTAAAATGCTGCAGGATGCAGGACAAATTGTTAAAAATTGGGACTCTCCCGCCAAAAGAGGGATATCTGGTTATCTTAGTTTATAGAGAAATGGGGCCATGAGAAATTAGTTAGGCAAAGAGGGAAGTTTTAGTAAAAGCAAAAGGATAGTGCTCTGGCTGGTGTGGCTCAGTTGGTTGAGCACCATCCTGTGCACTAAAAGGTCACTGATTTGATTCCCTTTCAGGGCACATACTCAGATTTTGGGTTCCATCCTCAGGTCAGCAGCATATAGGAGGCCAACTGATCAATGTTTTATCTCACATTGATGTTTCTCTTTCTCTCTTTCTCCCTTTCCCTTCCCCCTCTCTAAAAATCAATAAAAAATAAATTTAAAGAATAAATTGAAAAAAGCAAAAGGGTAGCAAAGAATATGACTTGTGTAAAAAGACAATGGAGGGGACTCATGTTGCGGATATGGGGGATGGATTTGGCATACATGACCAGCTTACTGAGGCTCTTGAAAACAGGCCAGAAGACCAAACATGACATGATTGGTAAAGAGAGTAGGTTGTTGAGCAGTGAATGACAGCATGATGGCAATATATTTGAAAGCCTCACCTGCTAGTAGTCATCAGGGAACATGAAAAGGGTGAGGTACAGAGAGACTGGCTAAGGTTAACACTTTGAACTAAGTGAAGAAATGAAAGATCCTGTGTGTGGTCCCATCTAAGGGAATCCAGAGGAGAAAACCAAATTTGGAAATCTACTTTTTCAAGCTTTCATTGATTTTCAAGTTAAACATTACTTTCTACTGTCCCTGGTTTCTCTTAGCACATTGATTTATGAATGTATTATATACAAGGCCCTGAAAAAATTTGGTTGCCTCAGACCTGTTTCCTTATGTGCAAAATGACAATTAAAAGTACCTTTATCAGAGAGTAGTTAGGATTAAGTGAAAGAACAGTAGAGGATCTAGCACAGTGGTTGGCACAAACTATAATTTCTACAAGGTTAGCTAAGATTTTTTTTGTTATCTTCATCATCAACATTATCATCATTATCATAGTCCTCATCATCTCTTAGTAATTTCTACCTCCTTCCCCCTTACACTACACTGAAAGTTCCTTGATTCCAATGATTGCATCTCATTATCTTTGTTTCTTCAAAAAGGAATACAAAGTAGGATTTTTGCTATGTACTGAATTGTAAGAGGAAAAATGCCAGAAATCCATGAAAGCAGGGATCTGTGTTACAAAAGAAGGAATATTAAAATATTCTTATTTTTGGAGGTAGACAGACAGGAAGAATGGTGGTTTCATAAACAGGAGAGCTGGAAGGAGAACCACGTGCAGGATTTGAGAGATCCTGAATTCAGTATTTAGCTTACTGAATTGACGTGATGGATGGGGAGAAGAATGGCAGAGAGAACAAATGTATCCAGCCACCTTCCATTAAAAGAAAAAATGGGCATAAACTTATACAGAGAGCAAAAGAAGAGATAAAACAGAAAGTTCATGAATGTGCCCTCGCCAGTGGATAGAGTGTTGGCTTGTTGTCTAAATGGCCCTGGGGGTTTGATTCTGGTCAAAGGCACATGCCCAGTTTCAGGCTTGATCCCCAGTAGGGGGGTGCAGGAAGCAGCCAATCAATGATTCTCATCATTGATGTTTCTATCTCTCTCTCCCTCTCCCTTCCTCTGTGAAATCAATAAACAATACACACACATATATATATAAAAGGCCCATGAATGTGATGTAACTGACCTAGTAAATCAGCAATGTAGATAACCAAGGACTAGCTGAATATAGACTGTAGAACCTTTAAAGGCACTATGAATGTGGGAATGAAGAGGGAAGGTCTAAAACCAGGACAGTTTAGAAGGTGTTTAAGAAGCAGTTGGGTCCTAATTGGTTTGGTTCAGTGGATAGAACATCAGACTGTAGACTGAAGGTCCCAGGTTTGATTCTGGTCAAGGGCACAGGCTCGATTCCCATGCAGGAGGCAGCTGATTAAGGGTTCTCTCTCATCATTGATTTTTCTATGTCTCTCTTCATCTCCCTTCCTCTCTGAAATCAATAAAAATATATTTAAAAAAGCAAGAAAAAAAAAAAAAAAAACAGTTGGTTCCTAAATCCTTTTCTATACTCGGATTTTAGGACCTGAAACACATTAGGGAACACACAGCAAAGGGCAGGGGTACTGAACTCCAAACCAAGTAGTTAAGTGTGCAAATATGAAATGCTGAGACCCCCACCTGCTCCCTACCCCTTCACTCTGAGATTGCTGGCAGCCGCCCTCTCACCCTCTCCAGACATCTGAGGAAAGTCTCTCACAGGAGAGACGGAGATTGAAACCAACCAATCAATCAACAAGAAAACCTCTGGAAACAAAGAGAAGGGAGAAGAAACCGAAACAATTGACAATAATAATTTTCATCATGTCACTTGCATCCACAAAGAAAAAAAAACCCCATTGAATAGTCTATTGAGAGCTTCCCCTTGGGGCCTCCCC